AAATATATATATAAATAAAAAAATAGATTAGTGAATATAAAGTTTAGTTATTTTTTTAGAGTAATTAACTGTTGGTAACAGAAAAATAATATAAGAATCTTTATTTTCTAATCACTTGACACAGTATGTAAGATTATTATTTTGGACAAGATTCCAAAGAATTCTATATGGTATTTAATGGTGACTAAATAGCAAAATCTGTAAGTGATATGTCTTGGTATATTTATAACTAAGTTACATTTGGTCCATGCTTTTCCAGTTTTGTCTTGGCCATCTTTAAGTACTGTTTGGGCCTCATATCTCTCACCATTTCTTGGACCAATGAGAGAGAAACAAGTTTAATCCAGCGGGTGGCACACACCTGTAATCCCAGCACTCTGAGAGGCTTAGGCAGGAGGGTCACAAGTTCAAGCCCAGCCCAGGCAGTGTGGTGACTTAGCAGGACCCCGTCTCAAAATTATAAATGCCAAAGAGCTTCAGCGTAGCTCAGAGTAAAGCTGAGCCGTATACCCAGTACTAGAAAAGGAAGAAAAGGGAGGGAGAGAGACAGACAAAGGAGTTTATTTATTGGTCAGATTAGGCAAATTGTTTTTGTGACAATACTGGCCTTTAAGGACATTGCTCACTCCTTATTCCATTTATCCCAGATTTATTTTCTTTTAAGATCATCCTGAACATGGAAATGACAAATCCCAGTTATACATAAGTCATAAATATAAAAATTTGCAGCACTGTGGGAGGCTGAGGCAGGAGCATCACAAGTTACAGCTAAGCCTGTACAACTTAGGGAGACTCAAAATAAAAAAATGTAAAGGGCTGAGGAGTGTAACTCAGTGCAGAGACCTTGAGTTCAGTTCCCAGTACTGGAAAAACAAAACAACAAAACAAAAACAACCCTCCTGTTGAATTTTTAAAAATAATTACTTCTGAGAAAATATTTTTCTTCTTCTCTACATGATATTGTCTTAATGACAAGGAACTAATACCTTTCTTAATATTTTATCATTTCAAACCGTATAGAGTGGCACCCTCAGAGGAGAAATAAAAAAATAATACAACCAAATTTAACGGTGAAATGAATGAAGTGATTTCTTTTTACTGCTGTCTTTGTAGTTAAGAAAGCAATGTAATACTATTTTGCAACAGGTATATTCCTATTTGCCAGCTTTGGGGAAAACTGGTGTGCACAGGGCTGGGAAGGTGCATTTACCAAAGAAAACAGGACAACGAAGTTGCCTTGAGTCTCAGAGAGCCTTACTAATGCTGAATGGAGCAAAGCGGAAGCCAGTGGAAGGGCCGCCCAGGTTTCCGTAAGTGCTGCCCTCATCCAGCCGGACGTTGTTGGACCACAGCTCTTCCACTGCCACCTGTCTTGAATGTTAGGTTCTCTGTGGGACTGTCTCAATTACATCAATTAGATGAAAACTCAGTTTTAGACCTGTAAATATGCACGATCGACATTTTTTTCCTGTAATTCAAAGAACATACTTTATTAACCACTTCCCCCAAAAAAATTATTCATCAACTTTTTTACACAAGTTTTGCCAGGTGATTTGAGTTAGTACTTTTCTATAATAAAGATGATATTTCAGAATATATGGTCATGCAAAATAGTCTCAATCTTTATACCAGCTTCCCCCAAATGAGAAACCTCCTCTAAAAGCATGCTGTAGAAAACTCTGAAAGCCTGAAATTCTGGCTCCCTCTCTCTGACAGGGAGAAGAGAAGAGAATCACTATATGAAAATAAGGGAGCAGAGGCCTCCTTCCTAATCTTAGCTTTCTGTTGTATTTTTCTCCGCAAAATAGGATTTGTTTGGTCACCTTTTTCCCTAACATTTTATATTCATAACCTGATTCTTAGTTGGGGATTTGCAGTTGGGGTATAAGGCTAATAAAACGGAAGTTAATGCATAAAAATTTGTTCCAGTATGGTTGAAATATACTTTAAAATTTAGAAAGCAGTAAAACTTGAATGAGTAAGAGTTTAAATTAAAACAAGGCTAGATTTTAAAGAAAAAACTAATGTATGCTGGCATGCCTTGCTGAAAAACGAGCTTTCATTATTTCTTTCTTGCCTTTCAGAGAGCTGAACCTTGCTAAATGTTCCCCATCATTAAAAAAATTTAAAAAGAAGTCAGAAGGAGAGTCACCATGCTCCAAGGAGAATTGCCCCAATCTTAAAAAGATGAATATTCACAAGACTAATCTAAAAGGTATTCTAAATCCCTAAATTCTACTAAGAACTTTTCAGGATTGTAGTCAGCGCTTGCAGATTGCCCACACTTGTCCTGATGAATACTTGGACTTCACTGTTGAGTTAGGTCCAGGAAATACCTTCCTAGATAGAGTACCGTTTTCTTGAACTGTCGTTTATACAAAGAAAGTGATCACTTAATAGCCAGTGTAATAGAGCATTCCTTTGTCTCCTCCCCTGCCCCTGCAGATTCTAGCTCTGGTGCGTTGCACTCACTCAGCGCATTCCAGACTTGCCCTCCTTACTTTTCTGTTCCACCTCAACCTGTGCTGTTAGGATCAGTGTCTTCTGATTTGAAAGTATAATTCCGTCTTCATCTCTTTCAGTACTAGACATTTTGTGAACAAAGAGTGAGGAGAAGGCTATGTTACATAGCTGTGTTAAGCATATGGGCTCTTTTCTTCTAGGCACTGAGCCCAGACTGAAATGTGTTTGGCTTTTGGTTCTAACTGTACTGGAACCTAAGTACCTAAAGGGTGAAATAACAAGAATAGCGTTGTAATAATTCACTCTGGCAACTCTTTTATGTAGATACCTCCTAACTCACAAATATAAATTTTCTTCCAAGAGTCTTACATGGCTGAATCTCTTGTTTATAATGTTTTTAATGTAAGTATTAACATAATACCCGTAGAAATAGGGACTTAAATCTCTTACAGTATTTCTCATAAGTTCATAAATTGCTTATCACAAACTCAAAATAACAGCACATGTGGCTCAAAATATGATCGAGGTATTAGATGAGACTTCAGATATTAACTTCACAAATCAGTGTCCTTTTTCTGTGTTTTATTGTTTCAGGAAGTAGATGAATATGAATGACTTTAGACTGAGCAGCAGAAGGAACTGAGAGAAGGGAAGAGAATTGTGAAATTAGAGAAAAACGTGAAAAGCTTTTTCTATGCATGTAAAAGAAATGTTTTACTGGAAGTTACAGAGATAACCTATAAAAACTGAACACTGTAAAAATGAGCTACTTAATATTTTATAGCAAGAATAAATACAGTTTAGTATTTCACTTTGTTTCCCAAGCAGTCACAAGTTTTTGAAATTTTTTTTCCTTGTATCAAATTATCACTTATTTTACTGATCTTGGTTATAACAAAGATGGATATAGATAATTTTAGCCAGCAGCTACTAATTGCATCTTCTTACAAAAACTTTGCCATTCTATTTGTTACCCTTGTTCAGCTTTAAATGGTACTAGGGATTTGTGTGTGTGTGCCTGTGCGTGTGTGTGGTGTTTATATTAAGATTCCTCCGTTTCTCCCTCTCTGTGCTGCTGTAGCCAAGCCAGACAGCCTATTGAGAAGCAGCAAACCATCTGTTAATGGATTTGAAGTTCTGAATTATACTTGAGTGTGTAGAGGCACTCGTGCTTAGCCAGAAACATTCATTTGAATTAAGCTATAAATGCTGTATAAAATAGAGCCATACATTTAACGTAGGTTCATGAATAAATTTGAGAGGGCAGTTGCACTCTAAACTTTTATTGCTGCAAAACCCAGTATTTTGGGTGTTCTCTGATCATTTGGGGATTTTATAGCAGGATTGAAGCTTTAAACCTTGAACTAGGGTGAGACAATGCTGGTGTCAAACCGTTTGCTATAGAATCTCATTGCTGAATTGCTGACAGAACAGAAGCACTATGGATTGGTGGGCTGCTGCTTCCCCCACCCCTTTTAATGCAAGAGATGTTTAAACCAGCCAGAAGGAAAACTTACTAAATAATTTTCTGGCCTGGGTCCACATCTCCTAGTTCATGCCCTTTGATTATTTTCTTTAGTTGATACCTTGTCTTCTCTGGAATAATTATTAATTTTTTATGGCAGGAGAAACAGCCCTGCATAGGGCTTGCATAAGCAACAAAGTGGACAAATTGATTTTACTTCTGTCTTTGCCAGGAATAGACATCAATGTTAAAGGTAAGTTCTAAATCTTTGTGGTCTCATCCAGTGCCTTAATATTTGTGGTATAATAGTTTTATGTCACATTAAGAAAAATAATTTAAGTAAATTTACTTAAGATATCTTTAAAATACTGCCATTAGCAAAACCAGAAAATTAGTGTGTAATGATTTATAGCTAATGATACAAAAATGTTTTGTTGTTTATGTTTTGATTGTATCCCAGCATTGACACCTTAAAATAGGTTTAGTAATTTTACTTTATTTTTCTTAAATGTAGGTTTATGGTTGCACTTTGGGTATTTTTATCAAACCTTTTTTTTTTTTAATATGAAGTGCCTGCAAAGTCATCCTGACGAGAGAAGGAACATATCAATACTTTGCTACCAAATGTCCTACTTCTGCTGTTTTAAAACTTGCCTTGATTTCTAATTTAGACAATGCTGGCTGGACGCCTTTGCACGAAGCCTGTAACTATGGTAACACAGTGTGTGTCCAGGAAATTTTGCAACGTTGTCCAGAGGTAGATCTGCTCACTCAAGTGGACGGGGTGACTCCTTTGCATGACGCACTGTCCAACGGACATGTAGAAATTGGCAAGCTGCTGCTGCAGCACGGGGGTGAGTGCATTTATGCTAAACGTTCTCAAGAAATTAGCCAGGCTTTTGATGAATCCCTTGGAGGCAGATAGCATTTTATATTTAAAATCTGCTAGGGAAGATGCTTCTATTTTGTAATAACGAAAAAGTAAGGGTAATATGTCTTGTAGAATGTAACCACCCTTAAGTAGTGGTGATAAAAGCCCTTTCATAATATGTATGTCTGCACATATGTATATATTACTCAGCCTAGTCAGCTTCATTTTCGAGTGTATGTTTTTCATTGAATATGTTGGTTTTAAATATTAATGCTTTTACTTTATATATGTAATGTCTTTCTGATCTAATCATTTCTGCAAACTTATTAAGAGAAGAATGTAAGTGTTCAGTGTGATTATTTAGATTTTTTATTCTTTAGTTCCTATATAAACTGCTTAATCGATTAATGTTATTTTGATGAGATTTTTTTTTAGACTATTGAAAAGATAGCCTAGAATATTTTTCTTCATTCACATTTTGCAGTCAGTTATGTTAAAGTAGGAAGATTCAGATGATAATAACTTGTGCAGGATTTTGTGAAGAAGGTAATTTAAACTTAGTATTCATCTGCTTTTTCTGCTAATTTTTGATCTTTGCTTTCAGCAAGCCCCTTCTTTTTCAGTCACATTCTTATATCTGAACTGAATATTATAAATTTTACATCAAAATGTTCTAGCTGATTTGTGTTTTAAAAAGAAAAACAAAATAGTGCTGATGACTAGCATATAATACAAAGATTTGTATAAATTTCATATCGCTTTTATTTGTACTAATTTTAGCAGAATTTATAATTATTTCATCCTGTAATTAAAATGGTTCTGCATAAAAGCAAAAGACATATTTTCATTAGATGTCTTTTTTGCTACACATATGTGTCTGTAGGTGAGGAAGGTTGTATAGTAAGATAGCCTAAGACATTTGGTTATTTATAGTCTTCTCCTGCCCCCTAAAGGCCTTCCTGTGCCTATTTTACTAGCACCATTTCATAATAATCAATACATTTTTCAAATCTCCTTTAAGTATTATAAACATAATGAATGCTCTGCCACCTAAGTGTCTTATTTTTCTACTCTTGTTTTTTTCTGCTGAATTGTATATCTGGCATTTAAGCCAATATTTGGTTTTTCTTTAAATAGTGTAAGTGTTACAAAGCCATGATTTGTATTAGGTTTAGCTCTTCAGTAGAGTTTAGCATTACACCAATGAACATGAATTTTACTAGTGAAGGGTAGTAAATGGATGAGTTCCTTGACCTATGAGGCACTCACACAGACTTATTTTCCCTTTCCTGGGTTTGGACCAGTCATGTGATTAGACATCATTATATAGTAGCCATTATCTATTCATTGCTAGGCACTCAGTTTTGAGAGTAATAATTAGAAGTATGTTTATGTCTCTAAAATCATTTTAGGTATCCGTAATTTTTTAAAACAGTAATAACATGGAGCTTTTTTATTTTTAAGGACATAAATTCATGGAAAAGAACCTAATGTTGCCTTAGAATTCTTTTTTCCACAAATTACGATTTTATATCCATTATACATGTCTGATCAGAGTCCCCATAAAGAGTTTTAGTAGTTATATCTAGTCTTTCTGACAATATGTTGTAATGGCAGGGTTTTCTGATTAAATCTGCATGTACTAAAACCTTTGTATACCTTGTAATATTTTTAAGATTAAGTGCATGAATAGTTACCAGATTTGCTTGACAAAGGTACAGAATACTCCTGTGACCAAATACTGTGTCATTGCTTTGTTCCTCTCATACCATCCTTTATTACCCAGGGGATGAACTCTGTGTTGGGAACTAAGTAGGTGTTCAGATGGGTTTTAGCCTGGATAGGTAGATGAGATCTGAATTTGATCCAGGAGAATTCAGTTTTTTGTGAATCAATCACCTATAACAAAATCAAACATAAGGATAAAATAGAAAATGTGTTTTATTGTCTTCACACTGCCAGTATTCTTATCAGCAGTGGAATGGGACAGTACCTTTTGCTTTTGGTGATATTACAAGATAACCTTAAGGCTCTTATACAGATTTTAAGATAAACGTATTTAGTTAATTTATTCTAGGAACACTGAAAGTCATAGTTTAAGATGGTAGTTTATAAAGTTTCATGAACACTTTTTATACTGTTTAAGGCATGTACTTTTAGGTAAACTTTATTAGAAAATTGACTAGAATTTTGGTTTTTTTTAATGTACCTTTACTCTAGGCAGTCAGTATGTACAGCCTGTTAATTATGTCAACATGAATTAGTAAAAAAGTATGATTATCAACAGAGCCTTGAATGCTTTGGGGAAAAAGAGAGCGAAAACAGCTGTTATGCTGCCAAAATAAAAATGTTGTGCTCTTAACATTGTACCTTTTCTGTTTCACAGGCCCATTGCTTTTACAGCAGAGAAACTCTAAGGGGGAATTGCCCTTGGATTATGTGTTGTCACCTCAAATCAAGGAGGAGCTGTTTGCTATTACAAAAATAGAAGATACAGTGGAGAACTTTCATGTACAAGCAGAGAAACATTTTTACCACCAGCAACTCGAATTTGGTTCATTTTTACTTAGTAGGATGTTGCTAAATTTTTGTTCAATTTTTGATTTGTCTTCAGAGTTCATCTTAGCTTTCAAAGGGTTAACTCATCTAAATGAGCTGCTTATGGCTTATAAAAGTTACAAAGAAACCACCAGTACTCACACTGACTGGCTACTGGATCTTTACGATAGGAATATAAGGACACTAAAGAAGCTCCCAAATATCCTGAAGGAACTGCCTGAGCATTTGAAGTTGTGTCCTGGAGTCCATACCGAGGCCTTACTGGTGACTTTGGAAATGATGTGTCGGTCAGTCACAGACCTTTCGTGATGGAGCCAGAAAGTATGAGTCAACTTTGTAGACATGTTCTGCCTGCTTTGTCATTTAGAGAGGCTTCAGAGCTTACTGACAAATACTAATCCAATTTATTTATTAAGTGACTGTTTAGATTTGCTAGATTTTAAAAACCCTTGAAAAATTTCTGCAGAACTAAAATGTAAGCTTCTATTTCCAAGATGTGGAATTTGACTAAGAAGTTTTAAAAAAATAGTTTTATCTGATATGAAGTGTTTTATTAATCTTTTTGTTCTTAAAATGACATTATTTATACTGTACATGTAAAAAGTTAATTTAAATGTTTTTTTAAAAATCAAAATGTCCTCTATTTTAGGTGTTCTGGGTCTTAGCATTATGGCAAAGGTACAAATGTGTATCTATACTAATGTGTATCTATAAGTGTGTAACTATAAACACCCTGTTTCTTCTCTATAGGCTGATGGGCTAAAATATGCTTTTAGTTTTGTGTGTTTCTAAAATAAACATTTCTAAAATTTAAAATAATATTCTTTTGATGTTTCAGTGCAGTTAATATACAAAATCTGACAATAGTCCCTTGATCTGTTTTATTTTAGCAGTTCATGTACAAAGTGTATTACTACTTCATGTAACCAGTATTGTTAGTGAAAATATTTTGCTGCCTAATAAGTTTTATTGAATATCAACATTAAAAATGGCATCTAAGTAATAGAATTGAGGTTATCTAAAAATCTTAATGTGCAGTATGAATTTACAGAGTTGTAATGTTTCAACCGGTAGTTTTTTCCTAATAGCAGCTTGCGGTATAGTAAATCTGAAAGAGAGGGCATGGATAATAGTCACTTTTGAAAATGAAGTTGCTTCACTTGTGGGAATAAGTTACATTGTGATACAGCTGGTAAAGAAACATTAAAACTTACATTTAGCTTTTATGTAACAAATGATGATCTCACAGCAGTTAATCTGCTGAAGGTGCATACTTCAATTTTATTTTGGAAGTAGATCTTTTAATGAAATACAAATGCTCACTATCTTATTACAGGTTTATCATCTAAATTGAAAACTGCTATTCTAGTGTATCAGTTTTGATTTTAAAAATTAAGTTTTTCTGTATTTTAAAATATTTTTTAACTTATATTAGTCTCTATTGAACCTTCAAATATGACATTATGCAAACCTTTTTATTAATCTGCCAAAGTTTCAGAGGAAGCATCGTGAAGGGGAGACTGTCTAAAGGATGTTAAGTTAAGGGAAGCAGCATCTTCCCCAGATGATGAGTAGGAATATTTTTATTCCCACCAGTAGCTGTTTTACCTCACCTATGAGGGCCCTGGGGATACAGTTTGCTTGGTAAACTAATATAACCTTAAGAACATAGAGTTTGACATCAGGAACATTTTTGGATCTTTGTCTACCATAGTTAATAAGTAAAGCACAAGGAAGATCCTTTCTTATCTTTGGTTTTTCTTATCAAATGGAAATAACACCAGATGTTCTTATCATGAGAGTATTAACTTACTGTATCACTTTTATCACTTTATATGGCACTTTAAAATATTCTTTAGTAGTTCGTACTTCCTCTTTTGGTTATAATAAATCATTAATGCAAAATAGAAGATAGTAATTGCTTAAGTTAGTAGTAATCCTAACGTAATTAAGTAATCACCTCGTGAGTTAGGCTTTTGTACCATTAAGAAAAAGATGTTCACTAAAAAATAATTTTTTTGGTTACAGTAGCATTCATATTTTATAACTGTTCTACCTGCCAACTTCTGCAGGTCATGCCGACATATACTATGAAATGTACAAATGCCATTCAGGTCTCTGCCTGTACAAAGGTATTGCAGTTTCACCTTCAAAAGTCCAATGTGGCAAACACAGGTTATTAGGTTTTGTGGCCTAATTCATACTTATATGCATATTCATTTAGACCTGCAAAGAAAAAGTTCAATATTCTAATTTTATTTCTTATATATACTTTTGAGAAAACATAGTAGTTGCCTGAAAACTACCTTAGAGGAAGAAGAAATTCTCAATCTTTCTGGGTCCTGGCTTTTCAGTTGGAGACGTCTCAGGTGCAGCTGAATATAAAGCTGAGTTATGCTATTATTTCTTGTACTGTGCAAGATTTGATATCATAGTTCCATGGGAATGTTTTTTAAAAAGCCTGAGAGCCCTTATTACAGTATCCACATTACAATATTAACATTTCTTGAACACCTACATTGCTCCAGATGGTGCACTGGACAGGACCCAGCTCTACAAAGAAAGAAGAAAGGTCTGTGGTCTGGAAAGGTAAACCAGGCTCAGATACTGGTAAATTTTCTAATCGTCTTCTATGTGCTGTTTTTAAAAATTTTGTTTTGTGTGTTTCTAAAATTGGCAGTGTGCTTTAGTTTTTAAATGTGGATATTCAAGAATCTGGTAGTTAAATCTCTTGATGGGTATATTAGCAATTTTATTTTTGTGTAGATTGAATACGGGGCATGCTCTACATCTTAGTGAACTAGTACCCATTCTTAGGCAGATACAGATGCATTAACACTCAGATACTTTATATAAACTCCAGAAAATGTTTGTCCTTTTTAAGAAAGTTAAAGTACATGAATAGCTTCACATGAGAAAACAATTGTTGATGGAGTGTGCAGTCCTCATGCCTTCATATACCTTTCCCATTAAGTGATGATCTTGACGAGAGCCTGTCACTGTTGCTCCTGAGTCAGAAGGACAGGGTCATCTTTGAGTGACAAGGGGCACTCTTTCCCTCAGGCATTTAGCACAGAACTTCTGCCCCAATTGCTCCTCGTGCTGACGTGCAGCTTCCAAAACTCAGAATGAAAATTGTTTTGCTAACCAATGTGGCTTGAGTTGGAAAGGCCAGTGATGGTGTTATGGGAATCCTGGCGTGCTTGGTGATGTCAAAACTGGACACGCAGAATCATGGGCTGCTCCTTGTAAATAAAACTATGTTATCAAAAGATCCACCTTGTAGGATAAGATGAATTGGGTGAGGAGGTTATACTTTGTGATTACTTGCTTGGGTAACAGATTTAGAAGTGTTTAGGCTAGAAATTAAAAGGTCGTAGTATTGTTTTACTTGTGTTTAAGCATCATTCTTTCGAGGCACTGTAAATCCCACTCAAAGACCATTTCAGAGGAAATAAATATTTTTCATAAGATATTTTTAACATCACTGGTCATTAGATTTTTTTACAGTTTGCCCTCTTATAGTAAATTCGTATCTTACACAAAATTTGAAATATATTTAACTCATGCTTCCCAGTTTATGGTAACAAAGCAACATAGACCTATACCCATGTTTGTTTCTTAAGACACATGGATTTATGTGAATTATTGGAGGAGAATATTCTGCTAAATTGTTTGAAAAAATCTTGTGCGATTTACCACACACATCTTAATGATTAACTTTTTTTCACAGAAGCATCTGCTGTTTGGGAGTATTTTTATGTTACAAACTTTTCAATATTTTCTATATTTGAAATAAGCTACTGTAGGTTTTTTAGTATTGGTGTAGTGTTTTGATTGTAAATGCATTACATTTTTTTAAAAAGCTTAAAACAACCTTAGCACTAGATATAAGTGAATTTTTAGAATATTGTTTTGATATTGAAGATACATATAACCCTCTCCCTCCCTTTTAAATAAAAAACAAGTACAGTGAACTCTCTTCTGGATTTAAAAACTATTACTGAATTAAAATCCAACAGTAATATTAACTCAGCAAAGTGACTAGTGCTCAGCTATAAAAACAGTAATCCTAATAAAAGCACATTGTTAATGCACAATATATAAATATTGTAACATACGTTGCCCATGACATAGACCCCAAAAAGGCTCTTACTCGGCCATCTATAAATAGCCATTCCCAATTAGAACTGAAGCATTTCCCCTAAATTTCTTTGTGTGTTCTGACCCCTAAATCTACTTAGGATACTAAACCCAGCTTTGGTATAAATACTAATCATCCTGCTTCCCAAGTATCTAAGTTAATCATTGAGAATGACTCACTACTTTGGAACATATGATTTAGTTCTATCAAAGAAAAAAAGTTTTAAAGAAAATGATTAACACTTCCAGAAGATAAATTACACTGAACTAAAAATTTGGAATCCAGCTTTGAATTTACACCTATCAAACTATCATTTGTCTTGATAGTAGATGAACAAAAATTGCTGTTACTTCTCCATTCTTCTGTCCCCCAGTGAAATATGTTGAAAAAAATCATTAATCTTAAAGTGGTGACAGATAAAAGAACTTGGTTTGTTGTCAGTGACTTCTCAACTTCAAGGTTAGGTCAGCAATGTGTTATGTCATGACTCTTGATAAATTTTTCTAATGATCCAAATACTTTGGTTTATAATAGGTTTTTGTTTTAAGGAATGTACATCTTGGGTATCTGATTTTGCCCTAATGATGCATTTTTCAACTTGGCATTGTTTCTCTTTCACAATGTAGAGATGAAATTCCAGAGCAGTAAATACAACCCGGTAAAGTTAAAATATGTGTTTTAAAGGACTTTCTATGAAAACAAAATTGCAAAGATGAAATCTAGGCAAGAGAATTAGGGAATAAATGGTTAGGACTTTTTTGTCTAAAGGAATCCAAAAAGTAGAAATGTCTAGGTATTATTTAATATATTGATTGAAGTTAGTGAAGGCATAAAATCAGACAGAAAACATAGAGACCATCTAATAATCAGGAATGAACTACACCTCTGAAATTTTTGAACAATTTGGATAACTATTCTATAGAAGGCTCTTTCAGTTGAAATTCAATAAAAAATACAGTAATTGGCATGGTGGCATACACGTGAAATCGGAGCACGAAGGAGGCTGAGAGGGGGTCACTTTGAGCTCAGCCAGAGCAACATCTCCTTGGTGGAGGAGGAAGACAAGACAGTACCTGTTGCGATGGTATCCGAAATCAGAACTGCTTTGACTTGTAGTTCTCAGTTCTTTCCTCGAGGTTATGTAAATCTTGATGTCTCATTTCTTATTTTCCAATCATTCTAGTTCTTTCAAACTCCCTTCCAAAATACTAAGTTCATACTCAGACATGTTATTGGAAGAAAGAGACTTAAGGGAAGGCAGAAAGCAATTTATTACAACTTCCCTGACCACCATTTTTCTTGAATAATTTTGGTTCTTTGTTAAAAACACCAAATGTATTAAACTTATTTTCTCTAAGTTACATAGTGAAAAATTCAAATATATTGCTAATAGTGGTTGTGTTTGTGGCAAAATTTTGAGTATTTTTCACTTCTCCAAGTTTTTTGAGAATGTGATTTATCTTTGTTTATAATGCCATGAACCTGTTTATTTTGAAAGTAACGCTCCTGATCTAAACTAAAAGTCAGTCTTAAAATGTTTCTAAAGTTATCTTACTTAAACTGGCACATACTGGATTTTTAAAAGAGTACAACTTTACACCATTTTTGTTAAAGTTGGATGTAACTGAACATAGAATTGGCATCGTCCAACCATACACATGTCCTATGCGCTCCCCCTTTGAGAGTGAACCTGTGGGACCTTCGTAAGCTTCATTTGCAGACGCCTTGAGCCTGGCCATGTTGGCGTGGGGATCAGGTGCAATTGCTAAAGATTAAACGTTCTCTCTCGTGTGGAGTCACAATACAGTGTTCTTCCTTTCTGACTTGAAGAAGTATTTATGGAACCTGCGCTATTCCTTGTTCTCCCATGGGTCCTCAGATTCAACACAGAAAAGGAGGGAGAAATGGGTAAGATTAAATGGTAACTACATTTATTAAAGGTGTACCTTAAATGCCTTTGAAGGGTGTTCACTACTGTTAAGAATTTTTTTCTTGTATCATCATTGATGTGAAACAAAATCCACTGTCTAACTCCCTTGTAGTGTGAATGCAGATCCAAACTGTCAGCTGTCTGTTGGGATAATTGTGAGTCTTGTCATTCTTCTCCGCAGCATACAATTTGCACCTCTAGTGTGAACACCAGGAAAGGGGCCTCTTGTATTAGGCAGTGTTTTTGTTTGGGGCTACTAGGGGTTGAACCCAGGGCCTTTGAACTGAGCTACATCCCTAGCCCTTTTTATCATTTGAGACAGGCTGTCACTAAATCACTTAAGTTACCTGGGTTGTGCTCCATCTTACAGTCCTCCCACTTCAGCCCCCCAGAGTGCTGGGGTGACAGGTGAGCACCACCAGGCCTGGCTAGGTAATGTTTGAAGTACTACAACTCAAAAACATATTGTATTTCTACCCACACGGGATACCTACATTATAACTGTAGTCCACCAGAGAGTATCCATCTGCTTGGGGATGGAAGATTTCTCACCTGCTTGTCAGAAAGCCAAGTACTTGTGCATTCTTTCATTAGCATCATTGTGCACAGGAATGAATGGGATATACCTGGTCACCTTACAAGTGTCAGTCTGTTTACTTCTGGTTAAGTTACTATCAGGTATTCCATAATACCCCCCCCATAAAAAGTTTATTTCTGAAAATACATTTTTTCCATGTACATGCTAGAGGATAATTTTAAGTATTCAGGAATTTCAAGCAAATAAAATGGACACTTTGTTGGTCTACTTAAAGACTGCTTCTTCAAATGCATATAGTACTTGACGTTCCTGTGTGTTCCCAGGGGCTGAAGACACCCTGCTGTGGTTTGTGAGATGCGTTAATCGAAATTGAAGTTAGTCACGGTTCGGGACAAAGGTAAGAGGTATGTAGACCATTAGACCATTGTATGAGTTTGGACAGATATTAGTATTAGCTGCCTCTGCTGTTATACGACAAAGACATAAAATCACAAACACAGCCCTTTCCATACCTACAGATTTTGAGTTGGAATTGTTATAATCACCACTGTGTAAGGAAGAATATTTTACAGGGACTCTAATTATATGGTTTCCAGCTCCCAAGTAGCTTCAAGAGGATCTCTGAACTTGGGACAGATGCTGCCATTTCCTTCCTCTGTGGTCCAGCTGTCCCCGTACCCATACTTGACTGTTGTCTCAGGTCTCCAGTAATGCAAGAGGCGGGGAAGCATGGGTGGGGCAGGTGTGCTTCTTTCTGTATGAATTTTAGCATTTCCTCCAAACCTGCCAACATGTGAACCCTGGCAAAATTATTTAACTTGATTCAAGCCATGTTGAAGCTTCCCTTTAACCAACTAAAGTTGAGCCTAAATGATCCTCTTCCCTCATTACTAGCAGCAACAGCTTCCTTCAGCCAGGTCTCAGGATTTCCTCAGATCTAGTCTTCTAGAAAATACAGGATGGCTTTCAGGTACACTTGGTGACTCAGGTTGGTCACTCTTTCTTTTTTGCAGCAACATTGAGGAATCTGCAGCAAGGAAGTCTTAACATTGCAATTTTAATTTTGCTAAATATGGATAAAACTTTGGCATAACTTCTTACCTAAACCATTTCTGTTTTCCTAAAAACAAATGATAATAACCCCATTAACTGACTAGAGCAGAGCACCAGTGCCATTTGGTTACTTTTTAAAAAATTGAATCATTTTTTTTCAGTAACATTTGGAGACATATAGAACCATCATATACATTTTTTAAACTCCAGTCTTTATAAAAATACTATTTATGCATGCAATGCAATGCTTTTTGGGTTTTTTTAAGTGTAGAATGTAAAAGAGCTCAGTTGTAGAAACCAGTTACATACTTGGTTGTTTAGTTTTGTGTGCTTTTTATTTTTGGTTCTTAACCCAGAGGGCCTTGGAAAAACACAAATAGAGTCATTAAGTTCCAGCAAACCATCTGTTGCATTAATTTCCACATTCTATAAATATTTTGGGCATTTAATATCTTATTTGCATAATGTTCTTATACAGTAAGAGCTTTTTCTTGGTGTTTCTTAAACATCAGAGATTGAGCTAGCCTAAGTCTTCTGATGGGACCACTGCTGTACAAGCTGCCATTGAATTAATGTGGAAACTGAGGCAATACTTTCAAAAGTAGGGATTCTTTTCTTTCAGTGAAGTACACCAATCATCTTGTGGGAAAGAATTTTAAATGAAAGGAATGACACTATTAACTAAGTATTCAGTACGTAATTTTTTAAATCCATACTCACCTGAGAGGTTAAAAAGCCTGAATCTAGGAAAGCTAATGAAACTGGCAAATAGGCCTCTACACATTGGACATGAAAAGCTCCAGGACTTAACTACCATTTAAAAATATCTGAGGGCTTTTCAGAAAGTGTGCTGACGACTCTCTTCTATTTCTGGAGCACCAACTGCTTTATATTTTGAGGGGGCCTTTGGGGGTTTTCTTAAATTAATTTTATTGGTACATTTTAGGTATACAATACAGTTACATTCATCATTGGAAATTTGCACCTTTACATAATCTCTTTTGGGCAGGGGAATGGAGAAAAATATATTTTGTTTTTTATGCTAAGCAAATATAAAACTCAAAAGGCATTGTAAACATTTAGGCTCATCTACCAAGTTTACAAACTGAATTTGTAGCCTTTTAATAAGACTTGTTCATACAAAGTAGGCAACTTCAGCACTGGAGATCTTTGGCTATTGAGATCAAAATGCGGGGCAGGAGAAGCTCTTACAAAGTAGGAGCTTTTCTTCACTTTTAAATGCAGAATTCAAATCCTATAAAAGTTGCTTTTGAAAATAAATCAGTTAAATTTGGCTTTCACTACAACTCCAGTTTTGATATATTATCATTGGTTTAAACATTGCCTGTGATAGGGTCATATAGTAGCTATGCAATAAATGCATCACAAAGCAAAATCTCTTGGTGAATCTTCCAGCCTAGTGTATAGAATAGCTGAAAAATAATTTGGAATTCCTGCAGAACCTATCAATTTGAGTCTGGAACAGTAGTACTGTGTTCAAATGAGCAAGTAGTACTATATTTTTTAAGATGGGGGAAAAGTTAAAATACAGACAGCTAATGTATTTCTTATGGATTGTCACAATTAGCTGGCTGCCTGTAATCCCAGATATTTGGGCGGCTGAGGCTTGAGGATGGAAAATTTGAGGCTAGTGTGGGCAACTTAAAATCCTATCTCAAACTGAAAAAAAAAAATAAGTTAAAAGGGCCGGGCATGTATCTCCGTGGTACAATGCTTGCTCAGCATGCATGAGATTCAATCCTCAGGACCACCAAAAATTTAAAAAATAATTATCACAATTCAAAGGGATAATTTGTAAATACAGGTAATGACTGTCAATGAATTTACTCACTAAAAGATAGGAAAACATTTAGTAGTTCACAATAACTACTATATTTAGCAAGCCAAGTAGATTTTAGGTTGGCATCCTATCTTTTAAGATATCTTCAGATAGCTTCAAAAATCTTAAAACCAAGACAAATTAGGCCACTCTTACTTAAGACAAAAGTACACCTATGTGAGAAAGGGAAAGAAATAGTTAAGAAGTCTACTAGAGATAGTCTGTTTCAGCCTGTGAATACAGTATTTTCTAAAAGCAATGATGACTAGCCTGCATATCATTTTCATGCCTCAAGCTACATCTTACTAGTCTCTCAGCTTCACTGGATCCCACCCCTCCAAAGGAATCGAGTTCTATACGACAGTCACCATTTCATGAAAAGCCCTGTTTGTTCAAACACGTAATTTGAAATGTCCTTTATAAAAATATGGACACAATCTCCCATTGCTTGTCTCTCAGCCATAGCAACTGAAAGGAAGGAGGAAAGGAGTACTGATTGTACGTAGAAAGGGTTATTTTCTTCTGTATTTAATGTAGTGAATGTGTAGTCAACATTACCATTGAACGAAACATCTGAAACGGTACAATGAAGCAAACAGAAAGTAGTCATCTGTTAATGGTTACCCGCTACTAGATACATCTGAGGTTGTAGAATATCAGGCTCATGGACGTCTGTAGACAGTGTCAAGCACAGAACATAAATCTCACACAAGGCATAATCAAAAGTTATTTGAAACAAATTATCTCATCAGTAAGTTCTAGTAACATCAACTTCATAAAGTAATATGTTTTAGCAACAAACAGTGATGGTATGCAGATGTTGTCTTAAACATGATGCACTAAGGTCAAAGCCTTTCTGTAGAAAGGGAATTTAATTGACATTCTTTCAAGCATAGTATATAAACAGATCAAAATAGTTCTATTATAAGAAATAGTATTTAACAACATATATCCAAAATAAAAATACTTTAAAAATCAGCTTTGATGAGATTAAATTTAAAGAATCTTTCTTTAGAGTGAAATATGTTTCTTGCTTCTGACTTCTCTGTGTTTTCCTGCATTACCCCCGCCCTTACTCCATCTCAGTCTATTATTAATAAAGTAGTGCAAAAACATTGTCTGCAGCAGTTTCCTCCATGTTTAATCCCCTACCGAGTCAGAGAATTAAGACATTCTCACTCACTAAATCAGAGATATTTTCCCTTGACGTGCCAGGGACTTAGGTAGAAAAGCTGCTGTAAAAGTCTGGTGAATGCAGTTTTTAAGTACAGATTCTATGGTAAGCAGTGACACATTTTTAAAGGCACCCCCCATACACAGTTTATTTTACAAAACAGGTTTTCATGCATTCATATTATCAAGAATTTTTTTATAAATGAATGTAATGAAACACTGGTATATTAGCACACCGCATTCTCCTCTACATAAAATTCACACTAACAACAGAAATCATGGTATGCATTAAAGCACTTCAGTAACCTAATGAGAAAGCTAGTGTTTTTTTCTTTTCTGTGAGAACACTTGAGTATGAAATATTTTTAGATGCACAGAGGTATAATTTGACATCAAAAGCAATGTGGGGGTTTTTTACTAGTATTTTTGATAACAATTGGGTTGCTAATTTGATAATTCAGTATAAATTAAAGTAGTGGTAGATATAAAAATTCAGATAGGCAATCATTTATAAACCTGGCAGTATTTACAACATGGAGTCCTGGAGAGATTTTAAGGTTTGGGATGGAATGATAGAAGGTTTGTAAGCTTTCTCTACAGGATCTCAGGTTCTCTTGAAGGGATGAATGTACCTGTACTCATTTGCTTAAAGTCAGCCTGCTCATACCTAATTAATCTGCATAAGACTGAGGTTCTGGTCTATGTTAAATTGAAATGCATCCTTTCCATTATTCAGGCTTTGGGATTTTTCCCCTTTTGAAATGTACAAAACATAGAAAACTGCAATGGATTACTTTTCAGATAAAAAATGGTCACATTTGAAAAAAACTTTAAAATCAAATGGACATTTACATTTTATGTAGATTTAATCAGAGCACATTTGAGCATTTAATCTAATATTCTGGTTCTTCCACTTGTAATTAGAGAAGTGTATATCCTTCAGTGTTATCACCCTTAACGTTTGTTCTTTCAGCATTATATTATTATCCCCAGCTAACAAGGCTTTCACATGGTAGTAGCTAAACCTTTCTCAAGTTGAGTCTGTACAACAGAAGTATATTTTCAAAGACATATGCCTTTGTACACTATTTACAAATTCTCCTGATCATGATAAAAAGGCAAAATAAATAAAAAGCAGAAAGAAAGGAAATGCTGCCGAAGCGGAAGGCTTTTCCTTTTATCTTCCCAAACAGATGCTGGTCTCCTCAGTGCTGGGAGCTGGCTAGCCAAGATTGTTTTTCTTCCTTTTATATGGGCTGTGAGAAGGATCCGGTTTCAGTTCTTGGTATTGCACCTGTTTAAACAGAGTTCAGAGAAAGACTGGTCAAGTGGCCACTTTCTGGCAAGGGAAGGAAAAGCAAAGGAGTGAGACAGTGCTTGGGAGAACGTGCTCACTCTAGAGGCTGCATGGGGTCTGCAGCTGGGATGCAAACAACAATAGAATAATGGAGCCCGAGTCAGAAGGGAAATCCTTTGGGGAAACTTCAAGATGCCCTGATGCGAACTTTGAGTAGGGCCTAGTGTCTTCATTAACCAAAACACGTTACAGTAAAAGCTGAACCACCTCAATCTGTTTGGAAGGACTGGATAATGGTTCTTTGCAGATTATTTGTTGAATACAATCTCAGTCTCTATCCATCCTGCTCAGGCGTATATCAAATGAAAAACTCAACTGAAACAAGGGAAGAAGTATCCCTACACCTCACGTTCAAGATTTTGTCAATTATGGGTTAACAGCCCTCAACTGCAAAGATTTCAAAGGATTTTTGAGCTGTGTCCCAGTCTTCAAGGGGCGGTTAGCATCTTCCTCCTCACTCAGCTCCAAAATTTTTATCTTTAAAACTCATTTAATCTGCATATTCCAGGAATTCTTTTCCCTTAAATGTCCACTGATACATTTTGCTTTCATCATCTAATATTCTTTATTTTCTCCCTTCAGATCATGCCGAGGCCCGCTCATAAACTCCAGCCAAACTTGGAGCAGGATTCTCCCTGACAGCTCTGCTCTGTGCAGCCCCTACTCAGTCTCCCACTTTCCATTCTTCTGGGAGCTTTCTCTTGGGCAACATCTCAAGTAGGCTGAAGTCTTGACTGGTAAAATCTGCCACCAGCTTTAGTAATGTTACCAGGCTCTTCTAAAACATATGACATTAAGTGGAAATGAAAGTTAGAACCCAGTGCCACACTACAGCCCAATAACAACAACAATAATAATAACAGCAATAGTAATAGAACCTACATACCACTTGTACATCTGAAGGGACTCTGGAAAGGAAGTCAAGTAGTTCATTGTTATCAATTGCATATGGGCTCCGAAGCTTTTTTGTAAATTTATTGATGCCTGAAAAAGTGATGGGTCAACATTATTGAAAACTCTATAAAGTTTGAATTATATAAAACAAATCTCTGGCAAAGGTGTTAGAGTGATTGGAAGGTCTAGTTTGTATGCCCCTGCCCACCCCTGACCCTGACTAAATGAACCAACAGCCCAGGTATATAGCCCACCCGCAACACTCATTCCAATTTCTTCCTTCTCTCCTCTTCCCGATTCAGCTGCTGCTTCATTTTTTCTCTTTGCACTTTAGTAACCTCTTCCTAGCCCGAAAGGCTTTCCATCTGGGAAGCAAAGGGGCCTACCTAGAAGGAATGAACAACGGTCCCCGCCTAGTGTTAAAGTACTTAGAAGCCTTGCTTATGTTTTCCAACTATGATGCAACTTGTCTTCCTGCATTGAGACTGAGATTGGTGAGACAAGGAAGTCTGCTGATTGGGTTCCCCTTCCTCAAAAGATACATCTCTTAAGCAAGCTAAACGTTTAGAAGACACATGACCTTGATTTTTTTCAAACTTGAATGGAGGACTGCCACTAGCATTTTGAAAAATAAAGATTACACAAAATCAGTTTCACACTATTAAAAACTGAACCATACCATCCGGACTAGAGCATCCTGGCTCTTCCTCATGGAGTTCATGTGGAATGAGCCTCTGGAATCTTGAGTTCGGCCTCTGTCTCCCTGTGTATGACCTACGTCTTAGATTTCGGGGTAATATTTCAGCAATCACCTGCCGCTAAAGGAATGCTGTTCTCGTTTTATTTCATTTGATGACTAAGAGCCCCAAACACATTCTCTAAAATTACTTTTAAGACAGCTAGCCAGGGAGGCCACCACAGGTTATGTAGCCAGATGTCTGCTATGGCCCCAGTTTCTAAGCACCTGAGGAAATGAGTCGGGGCATGGGGACAGCCACCTGTGGCACAGAGCTGTATAGGCAAGTTGACCCCAGACAGGTTAGAGTTTATAATCTGCCTGTGTGATGCCCTACCTTAATTCCTTCAGTGAAACAGCATCTGCTTTAAATATCAGAGAAGGATGAAAGATGGGAGCTTCAATGTACAATAGGAAGCAAGAATATGACCCAAATGCCTCATCCTTTGCATAGTGAAAGTACTGTCCTAAAGGAATTTCTGTAAATTGTAGAAATTAGCAAAGGAAAAATATCACTACTTCACCCACTCCATCCGGGACCTAAAAGGTAATGAAGGTGGTGATGAAGGCTATGAAGGCCTGCTCAAGATGACAAGATAGGCCAAGAAGGAGGGGAACTACAAATATGAAATCTGAAGCCTTGAAAACACAAGGAATCCACTTGCTTTATTTCAGTATATTTCTTTTAAAGCCTTGAAAAGAAATGAATGAAAAAACTTCCTGTGATCTTTTTGCTTTCAGTGTAAACACAAGTTTTCTGAAGTTAAGGCCCATTTTAGTTCTTTGTATTTTGAATAGGTTTAATCCATCTTAGGTATATGTGTATCCAGATAAGAGGCAAGTAGAAAATTCTTCTACCCAGTCTTGTTTATATCATTAAACATAGCAGTTCATGATTTATATTATATATTTATATGTTAGTAGATCTTTAAGACTGAAAATAGGGCTTTCCAAACCAAACATGTCATCAAGAAAGAAAGAAAGAAAGAAAGAAAGAAAGAAAGAAAGAAAGAAAGAGAGAAAGAAAGAAACCCAAAGAACGCTGCAGCAGACTACCTCCTAAATAGCATCTGGGTATATAAGAATTATTGGCATGCAGAAAAACTGCATTACAAATTAGGGCCAAAAAAGTAACCTTTCAGTAGGTTTCTATAGAAGTATTCTTGCTCAGTACACATACAACAGGGTGCTTTGTTTCTGAGGAGCCTATAAGTGCCAGCGATCCTGAATCCTAAAGGTGACCTCTTAAACAGAAGGCCATGTACTGTATTATGTTTACATATACTTCAACAAGATAAAGTACCACAGTGAAAAAGCATATTGTTCTAAATGCACCATATAGATCGAAATGCCTCTGTTGGCATATAAGTGGTGTAAATAAATCAGAACGATATCTAGACAAAGCTACACTTTGATATATGAAGAATCTGCACAACTACATGTTTAAAGTATGATGAAACCTATGGTGCCAGATAAGAAAAATGCATTTTGCAGGTAGACCTAAATCTTCATATTGTTGAGATTTTTAACTGACCTGTCTCTTTTCATCATGGAATGGCTACATGACCATAAATATGGGGGACTACCGACAGTGTAACTCACCCCTTAAAAAGAGTTTATTCTTAGCAGTTAAGACAGGTTTTTAAAAAAGGCTTTACTTACCCCAGACAAGGACAATGTATCTCAGTGGAATGAAGTATAGGATGAGTGTGAACACACACAGAGCCACAATGGCCAGCCAGCTCAGGAAGGGCACAGTCCAGTTGAAAGTACTGAATGAGAAATGAGCTTATCAGCGATCTGAGCACTTCACACCCTTTTCACACAAAGATTAAAATAAATGTGATTCTGACTAACTTGGAACCAGTTATCTGCTTTTCCTTCTGGGATAGAAGCCTGCTGTAGACTCCCAGAGGACATAGGTTAGTATAATCTCAATTCCCTGAACACAAGACCCAAGGAAAGCATTTTGCTTCCAACCCTACCAGACTGTCCTGGGTGACTTCAGAGTTTAAAACCGTGGCACTACTTGAGTGAATACCCACATGGTAAAAAGATTTTTGTTTTCTACTGCTGAAACTACTACTGAGTCTTGTTTGGTTTAATCTTCACGGGGTGGAACGGACCTGGGTCTGCCCTTCTTCTACCAGCTCTCAGCATTCCCACACTGGAAATAAAATGTTTCCAGCAATTGTCTATAGATGTAAATCTTAGACTACTGTGTAAACGCTGTGAATTTTAGAATTCCTTAGAGGAATACTCACTTTCTACCCAGCTATGTTTCAGAAGGAACTGGAAATCGGGAAATGGGGACAAAGTAACCTGATAAAACTTCACCTGCTTCTCAGAAACACATGTGTCATTCAGAAAGTCAGCAGTGTTTTACTACCCTCCCTGCAGGACTTCTGGAACATGGAATGTAATGGGTCTGTGGAATGAACTGTGAAGAGGGGCAGGGCAGGACTGATGGGTCTACAAGGTTGATCCGGCTGGTGACGGATACGTGAGGGGCTGGGTCAGAGAAGCCAGATGGCATTGACAGACAGCACAGGAACAAGAACAAAAGCAGGATCTGTGAGTAGAGGGAGAGGAAGGTACAGAAGATAATAAGGAGACGGGCAAGAATTTACGTGGGACAAAAGGGAAAAAGAATGGAGGAAAAAAAGGCAAAATAATCGTGTAGAATATTTTCTTAAAGATGGTATAGAGAAACAGGGAGATGGAAAATGGAAAGCACGATTACTTAAAGCTTTTTGTGTAGAAGTTCTGTGGTGAACCTGATAGTTTTTAAGAAAAAAAATGAAATTAGGTAGTAAATAAAATCACAGGTGCCCCTAAGGATTGATACAAAAATATATCACCATTTACAAGCACATCACTGCATTCTTTCAAATATCCCTAAAGTTCAGCTACCAAAGAGGAACTAATATGTAGTGTTGACTGGCCCTTGAGCACAACCATTTAATGAAAAGAACCAAGAAGCTGGCAAATGTGTGTTCAAAGCCTGGACGCTTGTTATGTAACTTGGATGAGTCAGTCTAACTGTATTCTGTTATGGGATTAGAGATGATCCCATCTCTTTAGCCCTTCCACTTTCTACTGTGTAACACCACAGCTTTCATTGTATCAAGGAAGGAAGACTGCTCATGATGGTAAATGTGTTTATGTGAATTAAGGTGTTATTATTAGAGCTAATGAACTGTAGAAGTCTCAAGTATGGGCAGTTGGAAGGGTGCCCAAGTTAGTTCAGAAAACTAAGAAATTGTACATGATACAGATAAATGTCAGTGTTGATTTCTCCTAATTTCTTGGTAATGGACATTATAATCATTTGGAGTTGGGTTTGTTCAGGGCAATTTTGATACAATAAAGGATGATTGCTAAGAAGTATTTTTTTTATACAGCTCCTTAGCACAATGCTTAAGCACAGTTCCTTAGTTTTGGGGCATGTAGCTTGCTTTTTGTATGTACTGTTTCCTAAAATTGACTTTTCGAGTAAGCAATCCGAAGTTGGACCAGTCCAATTCTCCTGTTTTCAGTAACCCTGGAATCTGGCTTTTTGTCTTTGTTTCTTTCCTCTCATGGTCAGGCAGAGTGAGCATCCTGTGGTTGTCAGCAGGTAAGAGATCAGACCTCCCTTCCACACCCGTGCTCCCTTTCCTCTGCCTGCTTGTGGACCGAGCAGAGGCTGAGGGTCTGCACGCTCTCCTATGGCTTAGTTCAGAGCCATCCACTCCGTGTATGTGTGGGCACCAGCACTGCACTCCCAAAATCTTCTCCTCTGGGCAGCCCCACCAAAGGGCTCCCTGTGTTCTCCTTACTCCTATTGGAAGGAGAAATGGTATAGAATCCTCGCCTATGGAGCTGATGTTAGGGGGAAAAGCTTACCTTTTCTATTCCACACTTTGTATTCTGGAATCTAAATCTAGAATATGCTCTTCCCCCCAAAAGAGTTGCAGTTCAAGAAAGTTCTGGAATGACTATGTAGTAACAAGATATGGTATTTATAGAGGCTTTTCATTGCATGCTTAAAGATTGCTTCTGTATCTGCTTTCTGCATAGATGCTTTTGATCTCATGTAAACCCAGGGGAGTTCACTTTTTTAATACATAAAACATTATTGTTGTGCAAAAGCAATGGCTCCTACAAGACTCATGGGATCCTATGCCATGAGCATGGAAAGTTCTATAAAGCCTGGGTTTCCCAAGGCTGTTCCACCACCATCATCCAGTCATATTCTTGCCCCAGCCATCATGTTCCGCAGCCAAGCACCTGTTCCGAGACCTCCCACTACGGCCTCAGAGCTGACCCAGGGTCTTCCAGTCACAAATCAGCACACAGTGAGCCCCAGAGAATGAACAACACTTAACAGGGAAATGCCCCAAACTTAGGCTTTCACTCCGTGCCTCAGTGGATAGGGCACAAAGGACAAGGGAGCATTCTTAGAGGTAGAAGTAATAGAGGAAGAAGGAGAGAGAAAAGATGTGGGAATGAATCTTTAGAGGTCTGAGACTGAATGTTGCTTAGGGGCGCATTTGGGAGTGAGAGGGAGGCCATTCTGTCTAATATATGAAAACTGAAAACTCAGCACTTGTCCATATGTGGAGATATATTAAACAAAAAATTATACAAAATAAAATGCATTAGCCCCTGCCACATGAAAGGCACCAGATGAATGACTCACACCTTGAGTTTAAATAATTTACTTCTTTCAAATTCTATGTATGTTCAAGGATCTAAATCTGCAGAACACTTTTGGTTATGAATAATAACCAGTGGGTAGATATATGAAACTGGGAAAATACAGCCTCATTCAGAGACACAGCACCCTTTCTTAACTAGACAGATCATTAACAGTTGCTTGAAAGGCCAGTTTCACAGATTAGTGTGGGGCCTAATAGTCCCTTCACTCATAATTACTCCACATCTACCTTATTGTTTTTATAAATAATAATGGTTTTGAAAGCATTAGTGAATAAAATTAAAGTAAAACAGTATAGGAATATCAATTTCTTAATTTTACATTAAATCTCAATGAAGTTATGTTTATTTAAAAATTAAAGAAAAGGGATTCAATTTCTTTTCTTTTCGGGGGGATTCAATTTGTTTTTTTTTTTTGTGGAACCAGAAATCGAACTCGGGACCTTGTGCTTGCGAGGCAGGCGGTGGAACCACTGAGCTAAATCTGCAGCCCTCAATTTCTTAATTATAAAAATTTAATGATTTTCTAAAGGACAAAGCATTATTTTATTGATAATTATGATATCAACTATTAAATTTGAAAGAACTTAATAATTTTTTGTAGAGCGTTATCACATAACAGAAAATTTTAAAAGTTTAGAGTAGCTTGATGAGAATATAATAGTCCAATAACAAAATGCAGGTGTCTGAATTACCTGAAATCCTCACATAGCTTGGGTTTGTTTTTTTCTCGGATTTCATATTCCTTTTAAGAACAAAGTCTTTCACGATGAACAATGTGCTAAAATTTAGGACAGTGTTATTTCTTCAAAGCTACAAGTATGACTTCTTTCCAATCAATATGTTCTAAATTTCGGGGAGGAAATTGACAGAACTTTCATAATACCAAAGACCGGCAGAAACCAAATGAATAATGAGGAAATGGAGCAATGGCTCACCCAGGAGTCTCTCCTGCCAGAGAGGAGGTGGCATTTCACCCTCCAAGTGACAAACGGACACCCTGCCCCCACATGAGGTCCCACATGTCAACGTCACTCACTTCTTTATCCTTTCGCCAAAGGAAGCCACTTCATCTAGGATGTTCTGGACACTGACACATACCTCCTGGATGGCATAGATTTTATTGATAAATCCCTTTTTTTCACTGTCCTGAAATGCAACAGCAACAAAAAGAAATTCTTTATGAGTAAAAGATGTTCTTTAATGCTTCAATTCTTTAGGTTGTCCCTTCCTTGTATTTTCAAATTTAAATAAACCACTATTTCTTGTGTGTCTATGCATAGGATATTAAGGGTTGAGGAGGAAAGGGACCCAGCACGGTAAAACTGTGTGACTAGTAAAGGTGGCTGCAGGATAGGAGCCTTGAATGCTATTGCTTTGACCCTGATGAACAGAAACTGTGGAGTGGAGTGCTAGCTGCGAGAGGGGGCAGACCTCACAATTACTCTATCTGGAATTTGCACTGACCCAAGACCTACCATGACTCTACCTAGCACACCCAGTTTCTTGACCCTACCACCCACAGACCTAAGTTGGATGGTAGCTCTGGATAGCTCATCAGCAGAAAATGCTTCTGTGCAAATGAGAAGACCTGTGAGCAATGAAAATGGCAAAAAGTGACAAAGGCGACTGGAACCCATTATGTGACACTTGCTAAACTACCTACATTAAGCTTGATCCCCCTCTTTAAAATAACACTCTTACATGTTGTACAGTAGCATATGCCATCAGTCATGGCTCTAACCAAGCACCCCACCCTTTTTGTACTTAATTCTTCAGAAATCTTATGCAGAATTTTAGCAAGCTAGTGTGCCCCAGGGAATGAGTGGGTGGGTGGGGACTGAGCATAAAGCTCTCAGGGTGATGTGAGCCTCGGGCACATGTGGATATTCTATAATTTTAGACCCAGAGGAAAGAAATTGTGGTGGCCTTTCATGAATACAAATTCTGCTTAGTAGCCTGGCATCACAGGCACATGCCTAGGCTGTGTGGTGGAGACCATCCAACCCTCTTTCCATGACTCCATTCCACCATGCCAGCTCGAATGTCTATGGAAATGTAGATCCAATTTCATTACTTTTAACTTCTTTTGAACACTTGCATGCTATGCCAGAACACTTGAGACCTCATGTGGCAGTCAGTGCTCGCTGAAAGCAGCCAGGAAGCTAGAATAATAATGTCATGTTGCACATTTACATACTGACTTTCATTTCAGAAGACTCTAAAGCACTTTACACTGTGAATACTCGGCCAGGGCTGGCACGGTGCCACCCAGAAACCATGGGTAAGTGAATCACAGGTGTAGGTGCGTCCTCCAAGGACAACAAGGTACACGGGGACCACGGCAGGAAGGCCAGATTTATAACTTGATCTTTAGTATAGATACCAGTTACTCAGACTTTCATTTTAAATTTAATTCCCATGGGAGACATTGTCGACATTATTCATCTTGCTTATCGCTTCTCGGCCTTTTGGCTAAGATCAAGTGTAGTATTCATCTTGCTTATGCCAAAACAGATTGTCAGACAATGAGGTAGATAAGAGACATAGAACAGTATGGGAAACAATCAGCATTCCCAGCTATCTTCAAAAGTCATCCTTGCCTTGATAGACTTGCATGCATCAATTTCTTATCATTTCTCCCTCTCCATTTAATAAAACAAAATGCATTAATTTCACCTCTGCACTTTAGAATAAAAACGAATAGCCAGTGACTCTTGTCACTTCCTTTCCTAACTACAAAGTTAGTCTGCCTACCCCTTTCTATTCTCATCTCAAGCACCAATGAAATTCACTTATGTCTATGAAGCAAAGTATCTTTATAAATGACTTATTCTGTATGCAGCAAAATAAACTGGAGGGCTCAGGGTGTGTATTAGTGGTAAAGCATGTGCTCAGGATAGGCAAAGCCCTGGGTTCAATCCTCAGCACCAAACAGAAAAAGAAAAATAGGTCATTTCAAAGCACGCTAGTGGAAGTCCAGTAACAATAAGGTCTTTCTAGTTCAAAATTATGTGAGAAATATTTCTTTCACAATAACAGAATATAAAATACTTGAGCATAACCTTAACAAGAAATGTGCAAAAATCTATGTGAAAAATATAGAGACCATGTTTATATGCTACAGTATTGACTATTAAAATCCTTTCCAATTGAATAGATGGGAAACAGATTTTAATATTCAGAGTAAACTGAAATGGGGAGAAGTTGATAAAGTGTTTCTAAAATTTGTTTGGAAAATTAAATGGGTAACTACAGTCAAAAAGTTGTTTTTTATAAATTTATTTTTTTAGGGGCCAGGGATTGAAGCTGAGACTTCCAGAATGCTAGGCAAGTGCTCAACCACCGTGCTATATTCGCAGCTGGCCCAAGAAAGTTTTGTGAAAGAAATACTGAGAAGCCATTTAGTGAGCCAGGTATCAGGTGATTAAAACGAGAGGCAGGCATTGAGAAGCTGTCGTGCAAACAAGGGACCATCATAAAGAAGGAGGCATTGCTTATGCCCCAGGCCTGGCTCATTTTAAAGTAATTTTTAAAAGGTAAAAAAGACAATAAAGGTAAGTTCCTTACTAACCTTGGAATAGGAAAGAACTTTCTAAACATGCAAGCAGTAAATCACAAAGGAAATATTTGATAGCAATAGTTACATAAAGTTAAAAACTTTCTCTCAACAGTCATCAATTTAAAAGACTGGGGCTGGGGGTACAGCTCCGTGTGTCACATGGGTGATTCACTGAGTTCAGTCCGCAGTATCATCAGAAAAACAATTATAAAGGGGAAAAGGTTGCAAGAAATATGACAAATAATGAGATGATATTCCCATTGTATTCAATAAACATCTGAAAAACTTTCTTTGCTGTTTTGCTTATAATAACAAAACACCATTAACATGCTGAATGGGATTAATTATGGAATCAGAAAATATCGAGAGTGTAATGACAACAAAAGTATTGATGATTTAATAGAAATAAAAAGTGGGAAGCAAATGTGATGCATAATATAATCCTAACATTTTAAATTGCTAGACTGGCAAAAAATAAAAGGATTGCATCAAAATATTCAGATAATGGAAGCTCCACTTTGCACTCTCCAGTAAGATTCCAACTCTGCAATAATATGTCAGAAATATTTTTTTGTGGTACTAGAAATTTCCCCTATTATTAAAGGAAGGACAGAAGAAATAAGTGAGTTAGAACTTATCGAGGATGATCTTACTGTCATACTTTTATTCTATTTTTTCTTACTGTATTTTTTGAGACAGTTGTTGCTTAGTTCAGGTTGATCTTGATTATATTGCCCAGGCTGGCCTTGAACTCATGGCAATCCTCCTGCCTTGGCCTCCTGAGTGCTGGACTTACAGGTATGCGCCACCACACCAAGCAGCTTTTGCATTTTTATAAGCTATCTTAAGTAATTTTTAGAAAGAAGTAAAATATAAATAAAAGTAAAATGCTTTTCAAACAGCCAATCCAATCCTCACAATCATCCTACAGTTTTTTTCTCCACTGTACAGAGGAAGAAACTGAGGCTCAGAGAAAATTGACAGAGCTTGGATTGGGACTAACTGGCTATCTTCAGAGTATGTTCTCTCCATATTAAACTGTATGTTCCTCAGTTTCAGTTCTTCCCCAGGATCTCAGTGGCATAAACAACAAGAAAAGATTTGAAAATGTTTATGAACTCCTAGAGAGCATGATCTAGCCTTGAGGCACATCATGCAGCTGAAATCCTCAGCAAGAAAATGAAATCCAGAAACTGGATTCAAAGGTAAAAAGACATGATGCGCTTGAAAGGCAATGAGCAGGATTCTCCAAATATGTAAGGTACTTCTGTTGATGTCCTGTGCAAACAACCAGCTTTAAGGTCAACAATGTGGTATGTAATATTTATTAAATACAAGAACTTCATTAGTAGGAAGTCATTTAAGGAATCTACAAAGATAATTTTTAGTAGATACTTGAAAATACCAGTGTTCATGTGTGATTATTGGCTAATATTCTTTAAAAATCATGCTCACTTTAAATTTTCTTTGTTTCTCCTGCACCCCAGCCTGCCACCACTCCCACATCCCTGGGCACCAAGGGCTAAAATAAGGTGGCCTGTCTAGAATGCTGACGAAGTTTTGCAAAGCAGAGGCTATGGGGTAAAATTTTTATTTTAAAATCTCTTTCACCAGATGCTGTATTCCTCCACTGTGGTCTCCAACCAATGAAGTAATTACTCTTTATACACAGTATATGACCCAAAACTGCAATGGGTAATGGAATTGCTCTGTGTTGCATTCCAATATTTCATACTTTTTTTCCCTAATGTTCAATACTTTATTAGTAAAGAATAAATTGGTACATTTCTTTTATTGTCGTTTTTGCTTTCTTTTATAAACCAGCTTGGATGAAAGAAATATCATAGGGTAGTTAATCATCCACAGGCTTGGTAGTGGCACTGGTTTCTTTAAAAATGCATTATTAAGATTTCTTTGGAAGATGTAAAGACATTCCCCATAAAAACAGCTATCACTATAAATCCGAGAACATGTGCGATTTATATCATACAACTACATGTAATGATTCTGTGTACTTTTTTAAAAAAACTTGCTTATTAGATTTTAAATTGTCTGCAAAACATCAATAACTACAAAACTTGAATTACAGTCATTCTCTAATATTTGCCTATTTTAATAGCTTGTATCATAACACAAAGTTAACTAGATTCTCCCAAAGAAGAAGCTACTTCCTAGCACTGAGATATTTTGGAAAATTGGAAGACCTAAAGCATCAATAGAAGTACCTTACATACTTGGAGAATCATGCTCATTGCCTTTCAAGCCAAAATAACAGATGCCCCCTTTCATTGATTCTGTTCTGAATAGGAAGAAGAAGCCAAAGCGACAGGCACCAGGGGTGTGTATTCTGGGACTGGTTGCTCGCGCTGGGCTGCATCCTGCCTCAGTCACTAATGCATTTCGGGGCCTGCCAAGGTGGTCACTGGCAACCCAGCTCACTCAGAATGTGAATGTGTTGAATACCTGCGCTATGTTGATCACAGTCAGCAGGTATATAGAATAGGTTGGCTCCAGGTATTACTATTAAAAATGATTTCCCTTTCTAGGCTTGAGGGAATACCACAAGAGCAAAAGCGGGGCGCTATTA